GTAAAGGAATATTCTGGGATAACRAGGGTGAAGTCTTGACTCTATATTCCAACCCTATTGGAAACGGTATCCTTATTACAAGGACTGGAACTGATTGGGTGGATAAGGGGATAAAAGTCTACCTTAGGCATACATTCACTTTATTAAGGAAATGAAGTCATAGGCATCTACCATGAACACTGCATTCATATATTAGTTGTGAGATCAGCTACCTCTCCAGCTAGGGAAGAAGCTAACACATACGATTTGTATCCTATATATCCATTTTTTTTCTAACTTTGTTCTAATGGATGCTAAAGATTTTGACTGGCTCATTTGGATTCTAAGGTCTAAACAATTGTACTGTCTTCCTTCTCTCTCCTCTATTTAAACTTTTAATATAAAGTTTTTAAGGTTATCAATAAAATATTTACAAGGTACTACCTCTTTGCTAAGGATGCAAATATTGGAGACGCCACTAGAAGTCCAACCATGAAAGCAGATGATAGAACACCATCTTCAAAATAGTTCAAATCAAAATCACCTCTGCAAGCAACCATTAGACCATTCTGAGCAATATAAATAACCTCAATATAGATGAATGCAAATGAAAACCCAACAGAAGTTCCCATCACATCAAAAGTAAAAGAATCAGGAAAATTGCAACACCAAATAAACCTCAAAATATATCTTACTGGATTCCGCTACCCGAAGTGCATATACCACTCTCTGTGCATGTCCGTTTACTTCCATTTACACCATTGCTTGCTATTGCTCCACGATCAACATAATTTAGCATGTTAATCACACAAAAGATTATAAGTAACCTGCAAACAGAACATTAAGAAATTCATCTTCCATCAATAGACAACATTACTTAACTCTGCCTGTGTGAGCTTATCTTACACCACTGGTCCCAAGCCTAGATAAAGGAGGATGTTTTTCAGGTTAGAAGCCAGCATTAAAACTTTTGCCAAACTCTTATGGTCAAGGATTCTGAATTGTCTTTAATGCCTAACAGGATGGAATGGCAAAACAGGATTCATGTAGCCGCCCCATATAGTTGGTGCAAGGTTTAGATGATGGTGATGATAATGAATAGACAACATTGCTTGATAATTAATAACTAATAAGTAAATAGAAAATGAAAATTAGGACAGAGTGTTAAGGAGACCATTAAAAAAGGATTTGGAAGAGGTGTTATTGAGGGAAGAAATCAGTTGGAGACACAAGTGGATTAAGGAAGGCAATGGGAACACTAGATTCTTCCATGATTTGGCAAATGGGAGACGAAGAAAGAATTTTGTGACCAAGCTAGAGATAGGAGAGGAGGTGTTTACCAACCAGGATGACATA